CCGGATCGATGCCCGCCTAGGCCAACCAAGCCTTCCATCCCTCCGGGGTCGGTGAATTGGTACCAGACTCGTCTGATGCCCGCCTAGGCCAACCAAGCCTTCCATCCCTCCGGGAGGATAAAAGCACTGACTTGTACATCGGCTGGCCACCGCAAGTCATTGTATAGGCCACATACGCACTCATTACGCCACTACGATTCTGAATGGAAGTCGAGTGCGGGGGCGCATCCCTCAGACGGGATTGATTAACGCCAAAAACTTTATCCTTTTATCCTTTATATATATATATATATCTGGGCCGAGGTGGAGTAGTGGGAAGTGGCGCACTATATCACACGCACGATCAGGGGTTCGAATCCCGGATCGATGCCCGCCTAGGCCAAACAAGCCCTCCATCCCTCCGGGGTCAGTGAATTGGTACCAGACTCGTCTGGGAGGATAAAAGCACTGACTTGTACATCGGCTGGCCACCGCAAGTATAGAACACATACGCACTCATTACGCCACTACGATTCTTGATGGAAGTCGAGTGCGGGGCGCATCCCTTAGACGGGATTGATTAACGTCAAAAACTTTATCCTTTTATAACCTATTTATATACACCACTAACTTGGTGTGTCCCATTGTACGCCGTTTTGTCGGTCATTGCGCAAAAAGAAACGTAGGCACTGTGGTGGAAATATTAAGATAGATCGGGCGGGTTATACACGTGTGGGAATTTCTGTACGATTGAAGACACTTCCCCTTCATTATAAGGCGAACTTGATTAGGTGTGAAATTACCATGATAACTATGCTTACTTAATAGCAGTATCCAGTCAGCAAAACGACCAGTCTTCCCATCAAACCGTCCACGGTGCGAAATGGCTCAACCCGTGCAGAATTCCGCACACTCGACGCACAACAAGCGGCTTTAGAGCGCCTATGTTTTGAGAAGGACGGTACATTCGTGCGATTCGGACTGCGCGCGGCAAATTGCGCGGCGAAATTCATAACGATTTTGACGACCTTAGCACCCATCATTGGGGCCCAAATTTCAAGTAGAGTAGATTAGTGGTGTCAGCTGACTCTACTTAACTATTTAATTCAAGTTTGGGCCCCAATAATAAGCCCCAGAGTCGTTCGAATCGCCACGTATTTCGCCGCGCAATTTGCCGCGCGCGGTTGGAATCGCACGAATGTTCACACACCCCGGTTGTATGTCGTTTGGCGCGGTGGGCGGGGTCGCGCCGCCCATTTGAGGCGGCGCGACTCCGCCCATCGCCCCTNGCCCATCGCGCCAAACGACCGGCTCCCACACACCCCAGATTTGAAGAAACTCGTCTCAATACAGTACATCAAACATTACACTGACTGATTTCGAGCTACATATTTATGTTCATGAGAAGAATCCCAGATAAGCGGTCTCAGACATTTGTAATGATGAACGCGTTAACGTGCGCAGCTTTGATTAAATAAAGAGGGGTTAACAGGACTGTTATGCGTTTCCCGTTGATGGTGCCTTTACATAGAATACTTTCCGAAGCTTCGACAGAATTGCGGGAAAACCTTGGACTACTGCGAGATTTTCGGAGAAATTTTCCGCTTAATCTACTACTACTTCACAGTAAGCAATACAGAGCAAAGGAAAACAATTCTGAAGCTTACCTGCTAAGGATTTCTAATGTAGGAATAGGTCGCAGGCATTGTAGAAAGTGACGACTTTCGGGCCTTCAGGACCAATTTCAGGTTCGAAGATGGCTCGATAACCTCACTCTTAACGCCGCCTTCATCCGTGAGTCCGTGAAGAGTGTTTTGGCACTTTCCGTGGCTTGACCATTAGCAGATCCTGTGAACTTACAAAGATAAATGTAAATCTGATTGTGAGGTATAAAAGAAGTAACATGCGTTGGTACTACTTTCATTTCCAGTACGAATGAATCACATAATTGAATGTATTCGCTGATTTAAAATGAAGAACCAAAACTGACGAAGAGTTATTTTTATAAGACTCAGCACACTATCCAATGGAAGCTGGGAAACGAAACCTACATCGAATAGAGGTTGGGTCGAAAAAATATATGGAGTAATGCGAAAATACAGAAGCTAGGTAGAAAAATCTGACTAAAAAATAGTCGCATTGATTTCAATCTCTGACAGGAAAAACAACTTTTCAAAAAAAGATACAAGGTTTAATAATAATGATGATACGTTTATAAGGTGATCAAATAAATGGTGCTACATTGGTTGATTCTCTAGGAAGGAGAATAAAGATTAGTGAGTTGTTTATTTTGCGAACTTCCGTCTCTTCAACCTCCCTCCTCGCCACCCTTAACTTCAATTTACCATTTTGTAGCGTATGTAAAAGGGCAGAGGTGGTGCGGTTACAAGTGCCACACTATCTCACACATATGGTGCTCCACCAAGGCTAACCAAGCCTTCCTCCGGGGTCGCTTCATTGGTACCAGACTTGTCTGGGGCAAATGCACTGACTTGCACACCAGCTGACCACAAGTTACAGTATAGGTTACATGACATGCAATCCGCCAATGCGATTCTGAATTGAAGACGATGCGAGGGCGTTGATCCACCCCAAACGGGATTGATCAACGCCCCAAGACTTTATCCTTTAGGTGAATGAACGCCTTTCAAAGTGTTTAAAATGTTTTGGAAACATAGTGTTTAGGGAAAAAATCAGTTTGAAAGAAAAAAATGGCTTTACCTACGCGAAGTCCTCATAGAATACAGTAATTGGTCCATATCAGAGCTTGGTTGCAGTTGCCGTTATGCAAGATGGTGTCTCTGGTGCAGTTCCGGCATCGATTGACGATAGACTGTTGGAGAACAAGTCGATGTGGACTGCCCTTTATTCTGGATGTGGTGAACAACCGAACGTGTGGTAACGGCTGCCCTCATGACTGCGCCACCTGCATCTTGAAATCTTTATCGAAAGCAACAAGTAGGAGTTAACTGAAGCATTTGTACCTACCAGACATCGTGTTGTCCGCACTTGTTTGAAGTAAACTTCAGTACAGCTCGAGCCCTCCACTGCGTTGTTTTCTCGCTTCGCCAAATCGATATGAACCAGCTAAAGCAGTCTGCTGACGCTGGCTCTGCCTTGTTTAGTGTTTATCAAGTTCCGTAGCCCCTTTTGCCTACTCGCCTTTCCTGTGTAAGTGCCGTCGTGTACGGTTTCCATTTTCATGACAGTTATTTTTGTTTTGGTAGAAGCCAAGGGGTCAGAGGTCTTAGTTAGTTGGCAGTTGACAATAAGGAACACCTCAGGTTCCTACATAATTCGAGCGTTATACCACCTCAAGGAAACTTTAGTATAATTACATCTTGAAGTAAACGTTGTAGGGAACATCAGCGATCATTTTGTCTCACGATCAGTGTGTGGACCTTATACGCAACAATACTTATACGCTTCTTTAAGGAAATCGGCACCTCATAGGATTAGATATATGAGTGCACCACGTCTGAATACATTTCATTTACCCACTATCTCCTTTGTTCTCTTCCTTCGACCTACGAAGGGCTCATTAAATCTTCTACTTGTAACGGAGCAACACAGATGCTCGCGAAAGTCAGCCAATGTTCGAGCAAGTGATCACCCCTACAATGTTAATAGTTAAAGTGGTGCAGGTTAAAATCCGATGGAACTGAGTGGGGCTCGACTTGGAAAGGTTCACAAACGCTAAAGTTCACCTCTGACCGTAATTCTCCCATTTGTTCGTCCCTGCCTTGAATCCCATGTGAGAATTACTACACCTCTTGTACCTGTAGTCGAGCTTATTCCTTTAGGGCTCGAAATGCAGAAAGCTATCGCGCTGAGGTGGCTTCAAAAAACCAACAAAGGAGTCGGCCACAGGACTATCACAGTGGTAATTTTTTACGCTACAGCAAGCTTGAAGAATCTTTACATCCGTGATTCCATGTCCTTTTTAAGTCGTCAGGAGGAAGTGGTGTTGTGCAGCAGAAACGTAACAAATATAAGTATGTCGGTGAGCAGGAAGTAACTGATGGATCGTTTGCCGGTGACCTTAACTACGGGCTTCATACACTGTTCTTCACGGAACTGTTCCGAGGTAGGCGCTACAATCAACGACTCTGGCCCAAACTTAAGAAATGTTTCAGGTTTCGGTGTTATGCTTGGGCATGTCTTCATGGAACCAGCCACAATCAACTATCCCTTTGAAAAAGGCCCTCTTAGCTCTCGGTTTAGGTGAAGATTGAGACTAATTCTTTCTTCCTGTTCTTTAAAATGCACATAAATGGATGAGTTAAATAAACTTAAAGATAAATAAATTGACAAATAAACGATTGAAGTATTTGGTACTACCTCATATGACACTGAAAATCTTGCTTCGAGTTATTCGTTCTACTACTCACCGAAGAGAAAACTGTTTCAGAGGGGAGCATGCTCTTCGACGTTACCCATCAGGTGAAGAGCGTTGCATTGCTTGCAAACTTTGTGAAGCCATCTGTCCAGCACAGGTTTGCACTCCTTGACATATATTTCTAAAATTGCGCTTACTGCTGTGATTTTGCTGATGTAGTGTTTAAGGCAATAACAATTGAAGCAGAACTTCGTCCCGATGGCAGTCGTCGTACCACACGATACGATATTGATATGACAAAGTATGTTTAGAAATTACTGTTTCCGAGTAGCGTTCATATACATCTTGCCCACTCTTTCTAGAACCAGTCTCTGGAAAGTGTCCGTCCTACTTATATAACGCGTCTGTTGTGTGTGAGTATGTAAAGTGTATGTGTATGTGCATGTGTATGTATGTGTGCGTGGGTTTGGTCGGGAAATTTTGCCTCCTGTTCTCCTATCTCACTGAGCCGAGAGCTTTCGAATTTGGGATGTAGAAGAGAGGAAGTGAGCGCTTATGAAGGGTGGCAGGACCGGAGTCCGCTTGGGGGGGGGGGGGGGGGGNGGGGGGGGGCTTGGAGTGTAAGGGGGAGGGGAGCGTGAGCAGAAATGTCAAATTGGGTCTGGACGTTCAAATTTGATATGATTGATTTGATAGGGTACGAGCGGAAGTATGACCATGCTGACGTGGCATGACTGGACGTCAGCGAAGATTGTTAATTCGAATATAAGGTGATTCAACTTGGCAGGGGCACAGGCGGCTCAATTAGGGCACTGACGGTACATAGTAGAAAGTGTCTGAACCGGATCCCAATTGCGGGGGCATAGGGGAATGTAGGGAGCGAGGGTGATCTTAGTGAATTTGCACAGCCAAGTTAAAAAAAGGAGGAATAAACCAATTTGCTCAAGCACACATGAGTTGAGCAGAACTCCGCTCATGACGGAAAAGGCGCTCATGAAGCGTGTCGGGTGTTTGTGCGTGTGTTGAGCCGGAACTTTTTACCTCCTCTTCTACCGTACCAGAGCGTCCAATTTGGAGGAGACGTAGGCGACAGGCCATTTTTACATGGGAAGAAGGAGTTCCCTGCGTTAGCCGGGCAATCCGACTGGTTTCAAAAAATGGCGCTTTGATGACAGAGGACGTATTTTTCTGTTAATGGAATGTCCGAAAATGAATACCATTATTTAATTACCCGCAATGAGCAATATGCTTTTATCAATCAATCAGTTTATCATCAATCAGAGCAGGTGATTACGATGGAAGTAGAACAAATGTTGATGCTGCTTTTAGGAAAATAGATACCAGATGTTGGAAGAGTTCACAAATGACATGAGAAAGGAGGATAAAAGCACCTCAACCTATTACATTCACCAAACATATGGAATCGAGTCCACCTTTACCCCGAGAGCCCTCTTCACCCACAAAGTCGACTCATTGTATCATCTACCCAGCTAAAAGAAAGAAGTATATCGATATCGAGCTGGCTGACTATAAAATCACATGTAAGCTTGATAGCATTCAGCAAGTGCAGAGCGCAACGCGACAGCACCAATAAAAGCGGAAGTTGTCACTAACCGCAATTCACCTCAAATATTCCGCAAAATGGAAGTTTCCGATATTGATTCGGATAGCAGCGAACCACCCGGCTATCTAACACGTTCGCAGTTTCGCACACCACCAGCGAAGCAAATACTGGACCACACAGATCTACACTTCCCGTAAGAGTCGATCAGAATGGAGTGGAGTGGATTGAATATCCGATAGAGCTCAACCGCCTCAAATTCCTCTGAATTTACAAAACATTACCCTTCGCGCTTCGAATGAAACATTTTAGTCCTTTTGGAAAACGATTCTGTCGCAGTGGATTTAGCGGCATAACACTAACCTAAATTTGAATCCCTGTCTCCATCCCCTTACCTGTGCGATTACCTCTCCCGGCTCTGAGCTTCATTGAATGAGGCGTTTTTGAAAGATACACCTATTATTTAATCCGACACTCTTAGTGGATAGACTAATTCGGGCACAAAGAACACTACAATAGTGAATGGAAGTTGAATGTTGACACACCCAAATAGGCGATTGATCCTATTTATCACTGCGCGTCCAATTCAATTTTATATAGAAGGGATAAATTCACTCTCGAAATTCGTTTTTTTCCCCTTATTCAAGGTGTATCTACTGCGGATTATGCCAAGAAGCATGTCCAGTGGATGCCATCGTTGAAGGACCGAATTTCGAGTTTTCCACGGAAACACATGAAGAACAACTCTACAACAAGGTCAACAACTCTTTCTTCTTCAGTTCCATTTACCACTTTTCGGAACTGCCCGATTACCAAACCTTTAAGCTTGGAACAATTTTGCATGGAAATCTATCAAATTATAGGAAAAACTGCTAACGAATGGCGATCGTTGGGAACCCGAATTAGCCGCTAACTTGCAAACGGAGTACTTATATAGATGAGCTTCACAATCAGTAGAATTTGTGTTTCGAGTCTTTGTTATGATAATGTGTCGATAAAGGGTTATGCTATCGGTTTTGGTTTATAGCTTGAATAAAGCCATTACCTGCATGCTTATCTGCAGTTTCCTGAATCAGTGATTTTTCCTCCCAAACAATGGTCAGGAACGACTCCTCGAGGAGCGACTACGGCTCACTGAATTACAGCGACTTCCTGTTGGCGAGCCAGTTTAGTTTAGTGAGTCCACGCTTATGGGGAGAGGGGGGG